GTCCCCATGATCAACTTCCAGAACATTCACAGCACACTCTAAGAGAAACCTCATGCCCATTAGAAGTCGCCCACCATTCCAGAGGGCCACCACTAATCAGCCCTCTGTCTCCATAGATTACTCTGTTCTTGAAATTCCGGACAAATGGAATCATGTGACCATGGGACACCTTTAGGGTCTGGCTTCTTTCAAAGAGCATAATGTTTTCAGGCATAATGTTTCCGTCCACCTGGTAGCATGTGCTGGTACTTATTTCCATTTTATGCCCAAATGATCCTCTGTCCTATGGAGATATAACATTTTGTTTATCCATTTACCGGTTGAAGGACATCTGGGTCGTTTCCACCTTTCCACTGTTGTGAATATTGCCGCTGTGAACGCTCCTCTCCACATTTTTGCCTGACTACCTGTTTACAGTCACTGTGTGTATATATTTAGTGCTGGAGGAGAAGCGTTACTTTTTTTTGCCTGGCCACCAGCAATGGGTGAGAGTTTCAGTTTCTTCACGTCCGTCCCAATACTTGTTATTTTCCATTGAGAAAAAAAAGATTTTTTTTTTATGACCAACCCAGCGGGTATGAAGCGGCATCTGATTGTGGTTTTGATTTGCATTTCCACGATGACTAATGACAGGGAGCATTTTTTCATGTGATTCTTGGCCGTTTGTATATCTTCTCTGCAGAAACATCTACTCAAGTCCCCTGCCTATTTTTAACTCAGTTTTACTTCTTATGGGAAAATATACATTGAAATGTACCATTTCAACCCATTTTCCTGTGGACAGTTTAGGGGCACTAAGTACATTCACAGTGTTGTGCCACTATTACTGGCGTCCAGCTCCAGAGCATTTTATGGAAGAGACTGTTTTTTTAAAAGGGGTTTTAAGGGGAGGCTGGGTGGCTCCATCGGTTGAGCCCCCAGTGACTCTTGGTTTCAGCTCGGGTGGTGATCTCAGCGTTGTGAGATCGAGCCCCACCCCCATTGGTTCACACTCATTGTGGAGTCTGCTTGCCATTCTCTCTCCCTCTCCTTCTGCCACTCTCCTTCTTCCCGCTGTCTCTCAAATAAGTAAATAAATCTTAAAAAAAAAAAAGGCATTTTTAAGTTCACAGCAGAATTGAGAAGAAGGTACAGAGATTTCCCAGCCCCTCTCCTTCCTCTCAACCCAGGCATGCACAACCCCCCTGTTATCATCGTTCCCCCCCACTCCAGAGTGGGACAGTTGTTTGTCTGTTTCTGCCAAAAAGGCAGTTGGGATTTTCATAAAGATCACACTAATCTGAGGGCGCTTGGGTGGCTCAGTGGGTTGAGCCTCTGCCTTCGGCTCAGGTCATGGTCTCAGGGTCCTGGGATTGAGCCCCACATTGAGCCTGCTTCTCCCTCTCTCTCTCTCTGCCTGCCTCTCTGCCTACTTGTGATCTCTATCAAATAAATAAATAAAATCTTTAAAAAAAAATCACACTAATCTGTACATCAGTTTGGGGAGTCATGTCCATGATGGTTAGTTTTATGCGTCAACTTGGCTAGGCTATAGGAGTCAGTAATTCAAGTAAACACTTAATCTAGGTGTTGCTATGAAGGTATTTTTTGATGGGGTTAACTTCTACAACAAGTTGACTTTAAGTAAAGGAGATTATTTTGGGAATTTGGGCCTCATCCAATCAGTTAAAAGGTCTTAAGGGCAAAACTGAAGTTTCCCCGAGGAAGAATTACACCTAGGGACCAGTTCCTTTTCTTTTCTTTTTCTTTTTTTTTTTTTAAGATTTCTATTTATTTATTTGATGGACAGAGAGAGATCACAAGTAGGCAGAGAGGCAGGCAGAAAGAGAGAGGAGGAAGCAGGCTTCCTGCTGAGCAGAGAGCCTGATCCCAGGACCCTGAGATCATGACCTGCGCCAAAGGCAGAGGCTTAACCCACTGAGCCACCCAGGCGCCCCAGGACCAGAGTTTCTGCCTGAGAGCTTCATCTCTCTCTTCCACCACCCCTCTCTCCATCCATCTTATCCTGTCTACCTACCTATCTTATCTACCTACCTACCTACCTACCTATCCATTCTATCTAGCTATCCATTTTTTCTATCTATCATCTCCTTCCAGAATTGTTTCTCTGATAGAACTCTGACTGATATACTACATGAACATCTTTCCATTTATTTAGGTCTTTAATTTATTTGGCAATATTTTGTAGTCTTCTATGCACAAGTCAAACTTCATTAAATTATTTTCTGAATTTTGTTTTTGCATCATTCCTTGCCAGTGTGTAGAAAAGCAACTGATTTTTGTATGTTGCTCTAGAATCCTGCCACCTTGCTGAATTTGTTCAGTAGCACTGTTTGTTTGGGTTTTTGTTTGTTTGTTTGTTTTTTTGGTTGATTCCTTAAGATTTTCTCTATATAGGATCATATGAGTAGAGATGGTTTTACTTCTTCCTTTCCAATGTGGATGCTTTGTATGTCCTTTTCTTGGGGAATTGTCCCCCCTAGAACTTCTGGTACAAGGTTGGATAGAAGTAGCAAAAGCAGACATTCTTACTTGTTCCTGACCTTGGAGGTACAGGGGGTGGGGGGAATGTCCAGTCTTTGACCTTGGCGGGTGTGAGCAGTAGGTACTCTTCATCAGCTTGTGGAAAGTTTCCTTCTCTCCTGACTTTGTTGAGTGTTTTTCTCATGAAAAGGTGTTGGATTTTGTCAAATGCTTTTTTAGCGTCTACTGAGATGATCCTGTGCCTGGTTTGCTTTCCTTCCCTCCTCCGAAGCACCGGGTTGGAAATTCAATCTCTCTGTGGTTTCTTGGGGATTAAAAAAACAGTCACCGTTTCACAGCTCTCCCCATAAATGATCGCCAACTCATAGGCGCAGTTAAGTGTTTAGGATATATGAAAAAAAACAAAGCCAGCTCCCGGGGTGCTCAGCAGTTTGCAGGGAGAAAAAGCAAGGAAAACGTGGTAGCACCGAGTAAAATATAGCAGTGAATTCAGGTATGCAGTTCCTTGTCCCCTAGCAGAAAGGAAAAGGGAGAGAAAGGGGAAGAGGAAGGCAGGAAGGAACGAGAGGAAAGGAGGCAGAAAGGAAGGCTCTTTCCCAAAGGAGGCTCTTTCCCAAACATTTTGCTCTGAGTTTCTCTAGAGCTCTAGAGGCTGTGATGCTCTGGGTTAATGTCAGGATGACGGGTCTTTCTATCACCTTGAGAATGGAGAATGGCAGAGGTGGGCATAATCCAGCTTCCTCTATGGTTTTATTATTATTATTTTTTAAAGATTTTATTTATTTGACAGAGAGAGATCACAAGTAGGCAGAGAGGCAGGCAGAGAGAGAGAGAGGAGGAAGCAGGCTCCCCGCCGAGCAGAGAGCCCCATGTGGGACTCCATCCCAGAACCCTGAGATCATGACCCGAGCCGAAGGCAGAGGCGGTTTTATTACTTTTTTAAAAGATTTTATTTATTTGTTTGACAGACAGAGAGAAATCACAAGTAGGCAGAGAGGCAGGCAGAGACAGAGGGGGAAGCAGACTCCCTGCTGAGCAGAGAGCTGGGTCCAGGACTCGGGGATCCCAGGACCCTGAGACCATGACGTGAGCCCAAGGCAGAGGCTTAACCCACTGAGCCACCCAGGCGCCCCTGCTCTAGGGTTTTAAAAAGAAAAGATTGGCCTCCCTAGTAACATCCACCTGGCAATTTCTAATGGTTGGGAGGAGTTTCACATCCCTTCCTCCAATTGAGTCCACAGATGATAATGGCTTGGTCCATATGGTGAAAGGTGGTGAGAGCTTTGGACAAGGACAGAGGGGACAGTTTGTTTGCTGTGGGACTTTGGGCAAGTCCCTCTCCCTGTCTGGGTCTCAGTGTCTCTGGGATCTCAGTGTAAAGCGGGGGACTCTATCCCCGGAGGAGTTCTAGGATCAGGTAGGCTCATAGGCTCTCCACCCAAGTGGCCTTTTTTATATGGCCCCATTAAGCTTCCTGGTATCTCCAGGACTCTGTACTCTGAAAGTCGCATGAGCCCCTTAATGCCTTGTGATGACTTCTTACGGTTGATGACTGCTCAGAGACCTCCTGGCTTGACTGGATCAGGGATGCTGTTATTACTGGGGCGGCCAGACAAGACCTTATCAGATACACAGGCAGTACCCACTTAGGGACAGAGGATTGAGTGGGTGTTGAAACAGGAGATACTGATTTCCAGAGCTTTTGGTGATGGAAGGAGAAGGTACCTAGGCGCTAAGGACCACCCTGGGGGCATAGGAAGTAGTCAGACAGCAGACTGGTTTTATTTAACAGTCTGTGCTAACCCCTTTGCCTGCATTATGTCGAATTCTTAGTAGAATTTATGAGACAGGTACTGTTATGCCCATTTTACAGACAGGAAGCTGAGGCCCAGAGAGAGTGGGTGACTTGCCCAAAGGCACACGGAGTATTTTGGGTTGTCTGGATGCATCTGAACGTACAGAACTGAGTACTGGGGAGAGGAGGGCTGCCCTACGAAGGGCCAGGAACCTTGGATCTGGGACTGGAGGTTGATGGTCTGCGTTGTCTGAGGGTGGGGAAGGGGAAGGAATGCCAGAGATGGGGTCCCTGCGGGAGTGGGGGGAGCAGGACGCGGATATCAGGAGGAGAGGGGACCGATGTGCCGGGGCAGAATCCCCAAGGGGAGACCTAGGATGGGGCGACTGGGGGGCTCCGAGGTCAGAGCGAGGGGCCTGGGCTGAAACTAGGGGGTCCCGGGAATGAGAGGGGTCGGGGTGTGCTGTGGGGGTGTTCCGAGGGACGGAGGGGCTGGGCAGAACGCGGAGGGTGTACACCCTTGGGCAGGGTCCCAGGCCGGGCTGGGCCGGGTGGGCCGGCTCGCGGGTAGTCCCAGCCGGAGAACAGAAAGGCGGAAGCCGGAGCTGCCCCGCCCCGCCCCGGCCCTGGCCCGGCCCCGCCCCGCCCCCGCCCCCGCCCCGCCCCCGGCCCGGCCCAGCGGCTCGCCCGCGCGGCGCGCTCAGACCTCCCGGCTCGACCAGCAGCGCGGGCGGCGGTGAGTGCTGTGCGCGGGCGCTGGTCGGGACGCGGCGGGCGGGAGCGGGTCTCCGCAGCGCGGGCACTGGTCCCCGGCTCCGGAGCAGTCCAAGCCGGGAGAGCCGCGGCATCGCGCGGGTTGCGGCGGCGGAGACCCCGGCGGAACCCGGGGGTCGAGGCGGGCTGGAGGGCATAGGGGTCCTGCCGAAATGTGCCTCGCTTGGCCCTCCGGGGCCGGGGGACAGGCCGGGTTGCGGCCCTGCTCCCGCGAGTGGGCCCATCGCCCGCGCTGGGGTCGTCTGAAAGAATTTGCGGACGCGGGTCCTAGAAATTCGGCTTGTAAGGGCCGCGCTGTATCTGCGCTTTTTGCCCCGCCAACTTCAGCGCGTGTCTTTGTGGGCACCCGGGGGGCTAGGGAGCCCCCGAGAGGTGAAAGTGCGGACAGAGCGCGAAGGGAACTGTGGCCCTGGCTAGACCCCCCACCCGCGGATTAAGGTGGGCACCGGGTGAGTCCAGGGGTTGGCCCAGACCCGCCCAGTGTCCGTGCCGGGTGGATGCGGGTGGCAGGAGCCGCCCCTCCCCGGCCAAGCCTGGCAGGTGACCTCCTCCCCTCTGCTCTGCAGGTCAGTATGGATCTGGGCAGTGGGGTGGGTGTTGTGTCTGCACCTCCTGGTCAAGGTCAGGGGATGGGGAAATGGGCATATTCTGGAAGGGGCGGTACAGTGCAGAAATCAGGCCAGTTGGACCTTCACTAGGTTTCCGGTCACTTTTGTGCTTCTGATTCATGGGGCTGACGTCATTACCTGTTGGACCGACTGGTGTTTGGGAAACCCAGTTTCTGGAAGCCACGGGCCTTTCCTTCTGAACCCATCAGGTTAGACTCTCCCACCAGTCTTCCCAAGAGGGAGAAATCCCTCCCAGTGGCCTGGTGGGCTGGCGCTGGTTCAGGGGCTGCCTGGAAGGCACATTGGTCCTGAGGGTCCCCTGGAGCCCTTGTAAGGAAAGACATGGTTCGCACTAGTGTATGCTTGACTGCCTCACTTACCTTCCTACCCCTACCCGCAGCCTTTTCAGGGTGGTTCTTTTTAAAATAGGACTAACCTGGATGCCATTGTAAAGAGAGGCATGAGCTGGTGTGTGGGACTCCATCACCATGTTTGGTTTGATCCTAGTTGGATCAGAACCCAGAGAGCAGGTGACTGCTTCTACCTGGCATGGGATAACGCCTTCCGCTGCATTTGGCTTACCTCTAAGCCAGCTTTTGTTTGGGATCTGAATGTGCTCCAGCCGCTCTAAGAAACCTTAATTGTAGATCTGCTGTGAGGCAGGGCCATCCTCCCTCTTTCCTGTTCTCCTGTTACTTTAAGGCATTAATCATAGATGCTTTTACTCGCGTTTGAAAAATTACCCTTGTAATGTTTGTGCAGGTGAAGTGACTGGGTGATTGATCTGAGACGGGTGATCACTTTCTTGGTCTCTAACATACTAGATGGCTGCTTTGCTCCTTCAGTGCCTTTTATGGGCTGACTGGGGGGAAGCAAAGGGCTAGCCTCACCCTTTGAAGGACACAGGAGAAATGGCTCCTGGTCCTGAGGGGTTTACGCTGTGGGTTGGAAGTGGAAACACATGCCAGGGTTGGGGGCTGGGGGAAGCCAGTGCTCTCTAATGCACAGGAGGAGGTTGAGGGGAATGGAAAGGAGGGAGGTGTGAGCAAGGAGCCAGGATAGCCACAGTGGGTTGAGTGGCAAAGCTGAGGCTGAGCTTATGTGGCTGAAGGCTCATGTGGATGTGGTCAGCAGCTTTCCAGAGGAGCAGAAGGGTCTCGGCAAAGCTTAAGAGGATGCACAGACTAGACGAGGGTTAAAGGGGAGCTACGGGGAGGGGAGGAGCCAGAAGGCATTTCCAGCCTAAGTTAATTTTCAAGGAGATCAGCAGTACATACTTTAGCTGTTAACCACCCCTGCTCATTGGAGGTGTGTCTAATTCTGCTCTAAGAATGGACTGGTGCCCTCCTGAGACTTAAACTTCTCCCACCAAAGATGAATCAACCCAGAGCTACAGAGATGGTGGAAGAAAGGAGACTCATAAGAAGTAGTCCTGGAGCCCTGGCACTATGTCTTGTCCTGTATTTCTTTTTGCTTTTACTGCAGTGAAAACAGCCCAGTGGGAGAGGTGGTCCATCCCATCAGGCAAGCAGACCTCCTTAACTCTGCCTTTCTCTAGTACAGATGTGTTTATGATGTCTTTGGTGCCCAGCTGGCCTGCCCTGGTCTGTTCTGAACTCAACTGGTGTTTTCTTAACCTTAAAATTGTTATTTGTGCTCAAAGTGGTACTTTCCTAGGTCGCCGCAATTTCTTCTTACCGTTTGAGCCTATGTTGTTATTCTGGGCTGCTGTGAACACTTCCTTGGCTAATGTCGTCCCTTGCGTGCAGGTTATTTCAATACCATGTGTAATTTCACAGGCTTTAAAAAGACATGGACAGGGCACCTGGGTGGCTCAGTGGGTTAAGCCGCTGCCTTCGGCTCAGGTCATGATCTCGGGGTCCTGGGATCGAGTCCCGCATCGGGCTCTCTGCTTGGCGGGGAGCCTGCTTCTCTCTCTCTCTCTCTCTCTGGCTGCCTGTCCGTCTACTTGTGATCTCTCTCTGTCAAATAAATAAATAAAATCTTAAAAAAAAAAAAAAAAGACATGGACAGAGGGCTGCCTGGCTGGCTCAGTTGATACAGCGTGTGACTCGGGATCTCAGGGTTGTAAGTTTGAGTCCCATGTTGGGTGGAGAGATTACTTGAAAATAGAATCGTAAAAAAAAGAAGAAAAGAAATATTGAGGGTGTTTGTGTGGTGGTTCTCTGCCCCTCTCTAGTAGGTAGGAAGTTCATTCACCAGGATCCTAAAAGCTCGAGGCACTCCCTCCTTTATCACTTTCTTCTTTAAAGGCATTAACCCCGTGAGAGAAAAGACCAGAGAATTTCAGCTACTTAGCTCCTGAACTTTAGAATTGACTGCATTCCTGGAGTAAATTTAAGAGCTCAGCATTGTTTTGCCTTAACCTTGACTCCAAGGAGGTTATTTGTAGGCGATGCATTGATGTTTTTGAAAGTGATATAAAAAATAACACTATCGCAGATAGCGTGGAAGATAAAGAAGAAGATGAGGCATCATCTCAGCCTGAGAACCAAACAGCTAGCATCAGTTTTCCTTGTTTGTTTTTTTAATTTTTATTTATTTATTTGACAGACAGAGATCACAAGTAGGCAGAGAGGCAGGCAGAGAGAGAGGGGGGTAGCAGGCTCCCCGCTGAGCAGAGAGCCCGATGTGGGACTCAACCCCAGGACCCCGAGATCACGTCCTGGAGCCAAAGGCAGAGGCTTTAACCCACTGAGCCACCCAGGCGCCCCAAGTTTTCCTTGTTTGTTCCGCGGCTTGATCTCTTATCCCGGTGCCTGTTTATTTCTGAAGCTGCGATCAGGGTCCATACAGTTTTATATCCTGACACTGTCCTCTTAATGTTCTCATTGTGTCACTTCATCAGAACTCATCATTCCTCTGGAAACTTGAGGATGTGGTTTCACCAGGAATCCAGAGGGGAAGTCGCCCTCTCTGATTCCGGGGCAGCAGCCCACCTCCCCAGTGGAAGGATTTTTCATCCCGCAAATCACTGTAATTTGTACTTACGCCGTCCTTGAACCTGGCTTTCAGACTGTGGTAACTTTATCTTTGCTTTGTGGGACGTGTCACTCCATGGAAGCAGACAGAATTCAGAAGACGGTATTTGAAAATGATTCCTCTGACATATTTCTTAGGAGTTTCAGTGTTCTTACTGAGGGATACTGAATTCGAACTTGTGTGAGGGCAGATAGCCCAAGAGCTGTAGGTAGTAGTGTTTTCCCATTTCCTTTCGCGAAGAGGACTGGAGATCCCATTTTCCCCTTTTGTCTAAATTCTTCCTCCTTACTCAGAGTTTAGAAAGCACCATTCACCTGGGACATCTTCAGGAACGTGGGCCAGTTGAGTTCTATTATAACAAAAACAGCATTGCGGTATCTGTGTATTTTCAAGTTTGCTAGCCAGTGGTCCTTAGTCTGAGAATTTTGAGCAATATTCGATTTCCTACATGTACAAGCGGGATAGGTCCTTAAGAGTTTTTATAATCAGTTTCACTTACTGTTCACAGTATTGTTAAGAACATTTCTCTCCAGAGATCACTGAAGACCAGATCTTTTTGGCCTTCCCAGCTGGTTCTCCACCTTGTGTACAAACAGGGCTCTTTCCTTAGGCGACTTGACAATTTGCAGGAGTGCCCTTTGCCCCAGCCCACCCCCAACCTTTTTCTTTTTTTGCCGAAGGAATCCCTTTTCCCCTGCGGGTCATTTCAGTGATGGGAATAATCGAATATTGGGAGCTGGTCTCTGCGTTCCTTTTTCTGTGGCTGGAGGGAGGGGGCAGGGAGTAAAAGTGAATAATCTTCCTTTTCTCTCCTTGAAAGAACTCATATTAAGAAGGAGGATTAAGTTGGTGGTAAAAAGGCTGTTTTATCTTCTCCCTGAGGGCCTTGCCCTTTTCTGTGTTGATCTGATGTATTTTTAGAAGACTTTATCACCCACATGTGTTTAAAACCACTGTGAGAGTTTTGAAATGATGTTGTAAGGGAGGGGTACAGATCCGTGGCCAGGCATCCTTGTGCCTCCAGCCGGGCCGGGTTTTGGAGATCCCTCAACTTCGAGTACTGTCTTTTGGCTTCTGCTTGGGGATATCTTTTTCTTTCTTTCTTTCTTTTTTTTTTTCCCCTCTTTTACCTTCCCAATTAGAAATACTTAGAGTGTTCCAAAATTCATTATTTATTTTATTTTGTTTTTTCAGTGTTCCGGTGTGGTGCATAAACAGTGAATTTTGGAACACTGAAAAAATTAAATTAAATTTAATTTAAAAAAAAAGAAATCAGATATGAAGTTATAAGACAAAAAAAAAAAAAAAAAAGAAAGAAAGAAAGAAAAAAAAATTTAAAAACCTGGGTCAA